CCCCCTCCTGTTAAACTTTTTGCTTTTGGTAGCCAGGTTTATTTATATTTGCAGATGTCAGGGTAACAAACCAAAATTTGAGGAATTTAAAGACTTCGTGCAGAGGGTACAGAAAACTGAGTACTTGATTGCAAACAGAAAAGGTAAATTGGGAAAACATTTAACAAAATGGGGAAAATTTATGAAAATTGTAGCAACGACCCAGCATATCAACATGACTACCTGAAAAAATTGTAATATTTGTGTGGAGACTTTGTACTTGTTTGTTGTGCAATGTAATTTTTTGGTACACATACATGTAACTATGTAAAGTGCTTATGTAAATTAACTCAATAAAAATGTTTTAAATACAAAAAAACACACATGCATTTCAAAAAATATTTATTAAAATGAGCGAGTCTGCGAAAGAAATTGTCTGGGCTTGTTTTTTTTAATTAATGTCCTCGCATATTAGTTAACAGCACAAATATTTTTGCCTTTCTGAATAGTGATAACCAAAATGATGGGTGGGCTTCAAGTGAAATATTTTATTTTTATTTTTTGAATAGATCAAGTGAAAACCAAGGAGATAAGATTTCTAGTAAAATATTTGCTTATCTGTGACACAATGTTATATACAATTCAGAACCTAAAGTACAACACAAAGGTAATTGTTTCTGTGTTTTTTTGTCTTTTGACTTCCTTCTTGATTTGTTTTACTTACCTTTATATGATTAGAATTGTCAGCATTTAAATGTTTGTTTTGATGTATTGTAGCCATGGCAACTTGACTAACAAAATTTTGAAACTTGGTGTTCTTTGCAACAAAGTCTGTTTCACAATTAACCTACAAAAACAGAATAACAATTTTACAATAAGAAAAACAACAAATTATATTATAAAGCTGTAAATAGCATAAAAAAGGTCAAAATCTTGCAGTGTAACCAATCGTTGAACAATTCTCAAACTGTTTTGATTTGATACATACCCACTACAAGCCAAAGTCCTGACCAATGTACTGTAAAATACATTTTTTAGCTGGATTTAATTTTTGCTGAAAAGACTTTTTGGGTGTTTTGTATAGAATTTATTTTCACCAATTTTTGGCGAGTTGAATGTAAAATATAGGGGAAAAGGTACATGTATATTTGCTGGATTTTATTTTCACTGAATCATTCCTTCAGAGAAAATAGCGAAAATTAATTCCATGTGAAAATAAAGTATTTTACAGTAGTTTGTGTTGTTGAAGAAGATTTTTTGAGCACTTTAAGCAATTTTTCGGCAAATTAGTTATGGCGAGAATAGTCATGTGACATGCTATCATTTTATTGGTGATATTGGTAGTACCACTAATAAATGTTATGATAATCAAGTAAGAATTAATACAATTTTTTTACCTCCACAACAGCTGCTGAATTCTGCTGACATAGTACACCAATCACTCCTTGAGCAGTTTTTCTACCTTGTAACTTAGTAGCTTTAGCCCAACCTTCTTTTTGTGCTTGTTCTTTCAACCAAGATTCTGCCTACAGAAATAAAATATCCAGTATGGAATATCTGTTGAAATGAAGTGATATCGCTCAACATCACTACTGAATTCATCTTATTAGAAGGGCAGTCAGAATTTAACCACTGCTCAATCTCATTGACATTTAAGCACTGATTTTGTTTTTATTCATCACAGAAAATAACCTGAATCATTTTTTATTCAGACAAGTAACCATTGGATATCATATTAATTTGATTCAGATCAATACATAATTTCTAGCAAATTACACAAAAATGTGAAAAATAATTTTGGCAGGAGAAATATAGCAATCAAAAGGTTAATGTCCTTTGTAAGGTAGGAGTTTATTCACTTTGAATTCTTTTCACTGGTGACATCACCTCTAACTACATCTCACCAAGTGACAATACGAATCCTATTCAGGCAACCAATTACAGTAAAGCTAACTAGAAAGCAGCATAAAACAAAAGTTCTGATTGGTTATGGAGAACCAGATTTGTCAAGCAATCAGAGCACATCTAACTAGAAAGCAGCATATAAAACAAATTTTGAAACAGGATTTGTAGAATCATTTGGAAAATTAATTTTTTTCATATGGTACATTTTATGTAACAAATGTAACAAATTGTATAAGCTTGAAAATGTAAAAGTTAATAAAAATGTTCTATTCTATAAAACTTACCTGTTCTAAATTATTTTCAAATTTATTAAGTGCTTTTTTACAATTTGCAAATGAGAATCCAGTTTTCTTACGTAGTTTGGCAAGGTTACTTTTCACGCCTGTGGCAGCTAGTCCTTGTAACACAGTAGAATTGTGTATAAGCCGACAGCACTGTGTGGCTATAACTGTAAAATGAACATAGTGAAACTATGATAACCTTGCTGGCAGCTAGTCCTTGTAACACTGTAGAATTGTGTATAAGCCGACAGCACTGTGTGGCTATAACTATAAAATGAACATAGTGAAACTATGAAAACCTTGCTGGCAGCAAGTCTTTGTAACACAGTAGAATTGTGTATAAGCCGACAGCACTGTGTGGCTATACCTGTAAAATGAACATAGTAAAACTATGAAAACCTTGCTGGCAGCAAGTCTTTGTAACACAGTAGAATTGTGTATAAGCCGACAGCACTGTGTGGCTATAACTGTAAAATGAACATAGTAAAACTATGATAACCTTGCTGGCAACTAGTCTTTGTAGTACAGTAGAACTGTGAATAAGTCTATTTCACCTTAACAATATTTTAAAAGTATCCAGAAAAAGAAATTGTGAACCCTTTTGAACTGATGTGTGCACTCATGACCAGGAACAGGACTTCGCTATTCACTGTGACAAGAAACAACACACAGAACTGACAGCTTCACTCCAACAAGTACACTCTTTTTTTCACTACTGAACGCGTACAAATTCTCTCATCAAATCTGTAATCTTCCTTATCTCCAATTCGATAGTTTGAAGTGATGTGTATTTCACCACTTTTCATGTAACTGCCAGGATTTTAGCCAGCCACCTATGTACCTGTCATTTTAGGCAGGCACTCCACATTTTAAATGAGTACAATATTTCATTTGACAAACAAAATCTTTAGAAACATGTAAATTACAAAACAACCTTAAATAATCAATAAAAAATAGACTACTATGAATACAGACTAGTGGCTGCTATTTTTCATTTTGATTAAAGTTTTTAGACGGGCACTTTCAATGTTCTGGCTATAACCTTGGTAACTGGTGACTTATAAATGTTGAATATGAACGTTCTACATTCAAAATTAAATTTGAATAATTTTAATATGATTTCAAACATTCCACATTCAGGATTACATTTGAATATACATTACTTATTCGCATAAGATGATGTGTTTTGTAAAACAATCTTGCCAATTTCTGTTTATGTAAGCAAACCATTTCAATTGTCCACTGTATGAATAATAAAAATGTAATCTGTAACACTATTGGTTTGAAGTACATTCAAAACCAAGGTCCTGACTCGCATATATATTGCCAGAGAGCAAATTGTTGTAATTTTAACATTTACAAAATAATTCCCCGACCGTTCATGCCATTAAATATATCATATACACTGAAGTCAGCTAAGGCTAATGTACCTTATAATTTATTTATGAGCCTAAATATTATTTTCAAACTCAAACAGAAGTTCCACACTGCAAGTCATGTGATGTAGGCTGTTTTTATTTCAGTCAAATTGATCATGTAATCGTGTAGAGGCTCCTACCGAGCTAACCTTTTAATTTGGGTTTGAATGAAACCGACTTCAAATGAAAACCATTTATAAATGTAGGTATATTTATAAGACTGAGCAAGCCTTTACAGTGAATATCATTAAGTAATGTTTGTTTGTTTTTTTATTTTCTTTGGCTATGGAAGCTGTATGGTCATGCCAAATACCCAGGACTTTTCTTTTCTTTGGCTGATTCACGGGCCCCTCACCAATAACTCTAATCCTAATCTTGCCTCTCCCCCATTTTAATTGTAATAATAAGAAGAATCTTTATTGAAACCATATCCCAGTATGGGATTTTTGATGGAAATACAATAAAATAACAAAAAAAGTGTAACAACAAGACAATCACAAACATTTGAATGAATGATTATCCTCCTCTTCAAGCACCTAAAGTTGGAGGAGGAGCAATTATATTGGGGGCTGGGGTGTTAGGTTTGCGTTTCAGGCGGTGAGGAGGGCTTAAGGAACTCTTTCCTAAAAAAAATCCACACAGAGCAATAAACCGATAGACAAAAAAAGGCATGACATATTCTTCAGATCGACTACAGCTCTAAGTTCAAGTCTGAGCCTGCGTGTTGGGAGGGGGGCTGCTGGAAGGGTTACGTGGGTGTAGTGGGGGGGGGTATGGGATCGATCAACAACGCGAGACGTACACTTATCATAACAGTGTTAACATAAACAATTCCATACTTACACAATTTTTTCATCGCAAACATAGTTAAAGGAATCTTTATATAAAAACTACTCAGCACACGTGAGTACATCGAAGATCAGGTCAGAGGTGAATGTGTGTTTGTTTGTTAGTTGTTTTTTTTCGATCAAATGAATCCCCAGCTTAGTGTTTTTTCTCATAATAGTTTACCAATATTTTAATTAAGATCTCTTTGAAAACACACTACATACACTACTATATTTCTATATTTACACGCTAAAGTTTGTAAGATTATTTAAAAAATGCCATTTGGATTTTAATCAAAGAAATTTATTAAACCGTGCCAAAATGACTCGCCTAGAGGGGCTCGTTGTTGTCAAAATGGGAGGCGAATGATGTTGTTGTCGTCGACTTCAATGTGCAGAAACGTAGAATACAAACACATTTTTAAGTAGCTGTATGCGGTATCGTACTATGAATTTGACATGAAAAAATAACTGGTAAGTACTATGCCAACAAATGGCGTCCACGATTATATTTCACTGATGAATTTAAAATTTCCCCTTCATCACTCGTTTTACGAATCTGACGTGTTATTGATGTTATTTTGTTGCAAGTCATAATATAGTGGTCGACAGTGAACACTAAATGAAAAAATACATACCTACAATCAAAAGAACTAGATTTCCTTGCATTGAAGTTGTCAAAAAGTTAGGTGCAGGGGAAATACCCAACCGGAAATATTTATGCATAGTCATTTGTCGCCTCCATCCCCCAATCTGGGACTTGACCGGGATAGTAGTTAGTACAACAACTGCAGCTTAATTCCAGTACAATCCCTGATACACGGGACCGAAGAAAATGTTTATGGATGGTAAAGTTGCCCCAGGGTGCAAAATTATTGTGTGATTGTCAGTCAAGAAACTATTACCACAGGAAGCCCAGGAACTACTAGTATAATCGTCTGTACGCTGTGGGTATCGGCTGGTACCTAGTGTAAGAAATAGACAAGGGATAAAAGCTCTAGCCAGCTCACATTTTTTAAACTCGAAAAAACAGTCAAACAAAATGAAAAATAAAAGCTAAAATTTTTTTCCAGTTTAAAAAATATAACAGTAATGTAACTGCCTGTGAGTGCCAAAGGCCTAATATAAAAACACACACAATAAGGCCTTAAGTTGGTCTATAGCAAAACAGCAATCAGTTTACTGTTTATTTGATAAAAAAAATTCTGTTGTAAACTTCCTTCCATTCTTGGCATGAATATTTAATGATTCAGAAAATGTTCCAGGCTTACGGAGGAGGGCCTGCAAATGACTAGGGCATAAAGTCTCAAAAAAGATATAGACGAAAGAGCATACTAGAGATATCTATGTCTGTAACAAAATTATGGTTATAAAATGTAACAGGTAGTTTTGCAACCTAAAGTCTATCAACTGAACAAAAGTTAATACAAAATGTAGTTGTGACTGAAATGATCAATTAATGGTAATTTTTCAGTTCGACCCAGTATGGTACCGGTAACTTGTATAGGCTTGTACTATAGTAACTACAAAGAAAACTGCGAAACCAAGAGCTACAGAATTGCAGATAATATTTGAGTTATATAAAGTGTATATGATTGATTCTATAGATATGAGAAATGGCGTCCTATTTTGCAACAGAAAATAACTCGGATATTCAGACTTTAAAGTAAGTATATATTTTCAGTCCCCGTTCGAACGAAGTCCGAAAACGGTACTATTAATTTGGGTTCTTTCCGTCTGTACGTCCATAGCTATATCTCGGACACCCATTGACGGATTTCATTCAAACTTTACATGAATACATGTCTTACATATGCACGTCAAGTTACTTTATGATCGGAGAAAAAAATGGCTGACTGGCGGCCATTTTGGATGTAAAATTTGCTATTTCTGATACCTAAACGTGTCTGCAGCAGTTTCTCAGAGATGACTGGGCCAATTTGGATCAAACATGGTATGATGATCATACATATTTGGTTATAGGTGCACGTCGTACTTTTTCCGTGATTCAAACAAATATGGCCGACTGGCGGCCATTTTGTCTTTCATGGTACCCATGCTACTTTCTCTTGAATGCCATGAACGTTTCTGTTTAAATTTTGTACAAAAATAGTATACCAAGAGATACATTTACACTATCATTATTTTTGTGATTTGATTCAATATGGCTGACTGACGCTCAAATTCCCTGTAAAAGCGTTAAATCGTCATTTTTTACATGTCCGGAGCTGTTTCTCAGAGATGACTAGGCCAATTTAGATCAAAGTTGATATGTAGATAATACATATTGGATTATAGGCGCACGTCATTCTTTTCCGTGATTCAAACAAATATGGCTGACTGGCGGCCATTTTGTTTTTCATGGTACCCATGCTACTTTCTTCTGAATGCAATAAACGTTTCTCTTTAAATTTTGTACAAAGATAGTATAGCAAGGGATGCGCATCAACATTATTTTTGTGATTCGATTCAGTATGGCTGACCAATGCCAAATTTTCATATAAAAGTGCTAAATCGTGATTTTTACATGGTCGGAGCTGTTTCTCAGAGATGACTAGGCCAATTAGGATCAAAGTTGGTATGATGATCATACATATTGGGTTATAGGCGCACGTCATTCTTTTCCGTGATTCAAACTAATATGGCTGACTGGTTGCCATTTTGTTTTTCATGGTACCCATGCCTACTTTCCCATAAATCAATGAAAATTTCTGTTAAAATTTTGTACAAAGACAGTATACCAATAGATACATCAACATGAACATTATTTTTGTAATTTGATTCAATATGACTGCCCAATGTTCAATTCTCGTGTAAAAGCACTAAATCATAATTATTTACAAATCCATCTCCTATTAATTGTTTCAATCTAATCTCAATGACTTCATCAGCATCAAATTGATATGTCAGATCACAAAATTGTGGACGGGGACTGTGTCATTAACAATGACTTGTTTAAATTACTAATATTTAGCTAAAAACTGTTTATTTATATTTGAATAATTTAGGAGTGAGCAGTTGAAATTAAAAAATAATAAAAAATATAAAAAATTCTGGTATAAAAAATGTATTCATTGTTATGATAATTAAGTTACATGTATACAGTCTGCTCAAAATCACTATAATCCAGTGGAGTGGAACCCTGATAACGCAAGGGGATCCTGTATCTCCATGGTCTAATGCTGGGGATCCCATAGGTCTGTGGTATAACCCAAGAGGATCCCTTAAGTCTATGGTCTAATCCTGGGTTAT